AAATTGACAACAATATGAATCCAAATAGTAGCAATCGACCCGATAGTAAGAACTCAAACAATCGAGTTGAACAAACTATGTAAAAAAGACTATTGACTGACGGTTGATTACCTGCAATCTGGCTTGGGAGCACTAAGTCAAACCGATCTTACGAGGGCTCCCGCCAAAATTTGAAGCACTGGCAGGTATCTGCTTTGAATTTGCAAGAATTTTATCCATAATTGCGATACTAAAGATATAAGTCAACTGTAGCAATCATAATCACGGCATGTGTATAAATAATATCACTATTGAAAGTTTAGATGATGATTACCCAGAAAAAGTCTCGGCCCTACCTACCTGGAGGACCTCCTGTCCGGCGTGCATCAATAAGCTGCCTGGCATGAAGTAGCCGAGAGCGAGGATTGTCAGAAAATCAGTCATCTTGTCGGCCTCATTTATTACGTGCCAGATTGGAGCGCAGGTTCCCATACGTGAGTCCCCCTTGACTTGAATAGGTAAGCCCAACAGGAGTTGAGGGAATAAGATGGAGAAGAGAAGAATGGTTATGGTTAACCTATTTGCATCGAGGGGACAACTGAGTAAAGTTTGATCAAATTATGCCTGGAAAGTCAGCAATAATAAAAATTGTGGGTTATTATACTGACAGCTATTATGCTGTTATGATCTATTATGCAAAAGGATGTGTCGGCTGGGCAATAATTCTGTCGATTACAGTGATGCAATACTCAGTGAATACAGGAGTATGAATACTTTTGGACCAGTATTGTATTTGTAACTTCTTCTCCAAAAGGTTTCAGAAAGCGCTTACCAATCAGCTGACAGGATGGTGCGAACAGATTAGTCAGAGCTGAATATGGAAATATATGTGCATTTCTAGCCGGTATACCTGAGCCAGGTATGCGCAAAATATGACTAATAAACTGTTCTTATAGATAATGTTACTATCTTTTAATCTGTATGATTGTGCTCAAAATCATTTAGACATGTGCTGAGCTGATTATTGTCACGCGCGAAGCAGAACCTGACTACTGGATGTTTGCTGAACCTCTTTTGTCGTATGAAAAGCGTCTTTACTAGATCTGGCCTATGTTGGACTCAGGCTTTGACCTACGTGATTTATACCTACGATTTTAATGAGTCTAAGCATCGTCCGAGTATGCTGATAATACGATGAAAACAAACAAAGTAATTAGCTCTTATAATACATTATACTAGTAAAAAGTCACCATAACGCCTCGAGTTCTACAAAATATAGGCTTAGAATGGGCGAACCGCTGGTAAATATTAGAGTAGATTGACATTACAAGTCACTTTGGCATTAGTTAAGTCGCTAGCCTCATAGTGATGAGGCTCGAATTTGTCTCTGAATTTACCTGAAGTTTCATCGCATCCAGCAGCTTAATGTCAATCAGAAGGTACTTTCAAAAGGCGAGAAAAGACTTAAATGACAAATAGGAAATATTCTTTAGAATCATGACTGTATAAGCCTTATGGTGGCATCAGTTCTTATTCACGATATACTGATAGTCTCGAAAATGTACTTATTGAGAATAAAAATGAGACATAAAGACCAAGATGGTGTGACCCTTAGTATAGTCGCGGTCTCCCTTTGTTGTATGAGAGTTGTTTGTCCTTATGTTCACAACTTGGTCGTATTGTCAGCAATACCTAGAGGAATGGACATTTTCCGGAGTTGATAGTATGCACCATAATTTCCAAAGTTGTACCTTGGACTTGGTACATTCCCAGACGTTTTGCTGACATCGTAACTGGCATCTTCAGTAAGCCTTGCTAGTCTTAGCACCAAAAATTGTCTTCTTTTTTGCTGTAATCAGTGAAGTGTTTGGCAATCCTACCTGTATACAACGAAAGGAGACCACGAACATACTAAAGGTTACAATTCGTGGTGCTAAGACTGGCAAGGCTCACGGACGATGCCGACGAAGCGTCTGAGAAGGTACCAAGTCCGAGGTCCGAAGATGGGAACTATAACTACTGTTGCAGAGGACTTCGAACAAGGTGCGTCCAACTAGATCGGCATGACAATACGATCAAGTTGATAAAAAACAAGATCAAACAACTTTAATAATAAAATAAAAAGAAGGCTTGTTCTTCAATTTAACGTAACCACGAGTCATCAAACAACATAAAATTAATCCAAATTCGAGGGAAACCAAGTGCACTAGTGATTTATGGAATGCTCATTCGAGAAGGAAACCTCTGTCTATTTGTTCTGAAAATAGTAAAAAGGAAAGCTCGAAACAAACAAGCATATTTACTTAAAATGTTTAGTGTCTATATGCTCATTGGTATTTAGCCTAGATGACTACCCCTATTTGGCTGACCCACCAGTAGCATAAAGCCAATAGTGCATCTCTAGCCTTATAAGAACATGAGTGGCTATTCTGATATAATATGAGATGTATTTACCCTATTTCATTTAAGGTGATGAAGGACTGGTAGTACAATTTTCCTATAATTATATGAATAGAGCTGACGTTTCCATTGAATTTCATATAGCCTTTTCTTTCCCAAAAGTTGTTCTCATCCAGTGTGGATTGCAGTTTCGACCTCGCATCGGTCTTATCAATACCCCAGCGGGAGTCGAACCGTAACAGTGCAGCATGTGAGCTTGACACGCTTACCACTCGTACCCATTGTCACGAGCGCTTTTCGGTCACAGTGCAGATGTCAATTTCAAGGAAGTGGGATTGTCGATGAAGCAAACCTATTTCTGCTATGACAATCGATTACGTTACTCATTTTTCGTATCTAAGTAGAATTTCGAGGCTACCCGTAAATCAGTAATATGACCTATGCGATGTCGAAACCGCAGTCCACCCTGAATGAGAACAAATTTGGGAGAGCAAGGCTATATTTAATTCACTGGAAAAGTTAGTTCTACTCATGTCATTGTAGGAAAATTCTATACCAGTCCTTCATCTCCTTAAACGAAATAGGGTGAATACATCTCATATTACTGACTTACTGGTAGTCTCGAAACTCTACTTGCAGACGAAAAATATTATGATATAGTTTCTACATAATCATGGCCTTTCGTGTTGTACGTGACTCATAGGAATAATAAGATATTCATTCAGATTATTTGGCGTTTGAGCGGTTTCTTTATCAGAGAATGAATAAGGTATATTGACCGATCAGCTGGAAAGCGATAAAAATTCATGCCAATCCCTACTAGTTCCAGTAATCCTGCGATCGAGACGATAAATTAACCTCAGGTTTTGGCACCATGGCATCATTCTTTATTGTAAATGTGAAGACCAAGATGGAATAACCAAAGGTTTGGTTGCAGTGTGGGTTTGACCTCGTTCTCGAAACTTGGTTGAAGCTAAAGGCAGATCTTTCGGAACGTATCTAGTCCTGCGTCCTCTCATATTATTCATTATAAGCTTCTGTGTGGATATGGGGAGCAAGATGTTGTGGCCTCTGGTATGGTCGCAGTCTCCTTTCGATTTATAGAAGTGGGTTGACCTCGTT